AAGTTGAGTTGTGGCTGTCCACAGTGTGACCACGGCGCCACATTTGGTCGATGAGCAATAGGGTACATTCAAACTTCATGAAGTTGAGAAGAACTCCCCAAATTATGTTGGTTCTTTAATCCATGCAGAAGCTAATGGTGAGGTTCGAAATCCTTACTTTTTCGGGTTCCTAAATCCTTTAGGAAGATAAGAATCTGTCAACTCTACCAATTCTGTCAACTATTAATTGAAACAAATGTATTTCTCCGCCAATCAATTTTTTCACTGTGTAGACAAGTTTTTAATGTGACTTTCACTAGTCTCCTGCTTCCTCCCTTAAGGAGAAGGATGAAACGAGTCTACCTGAACCTATAATCTAGAAAAGGTAGAGGTGCCAAGCTTGGTACTAATAATGTTTTCATCATTTGAGGCTAACAGTGACACAATCGAAATGCAATTTTGGAATCACAGGAAGACTGATTCTACCATTTAGCCCTAGCAATCTTCAGCAGGAACAATATACAAAGAACATATTTGATGATAATCCAAACACTAAAGCCCTCACTCTCAAGTTACGGATCACCTTTGTTGTGTTTGTCATGATAAGAAGAGTGCTGCTTCGTCAAAAGCTATTTGGAATCATACTTGCTAAAACATCAGGTTCGGAGAGATACATCTTCAACCGTGTTTCCATTGTCCCTTGTAAGCTTTCTCAGCCTTTGACAATTCTCATTTATCATCCTTCGGCGATTTCAACCTTTGGTTTTCTTCACTTCAAAGAGTTGCCCATTTTTGTTGACGAATCTCCATTGATTGATGCAATTCCTTATTCACTTGATAACATGCAGTTCACCATTACCATCAGTCAGAGTTCCACCAAATTGACTGTCAAAATGGTTGTTAGAATAGGCCCACCAAGCCCACTTCTGCTTCTCTCTCTCTTTCTCCCCTTCTTCTATATAACCTTATATACTCTTCTTCTTCAATCATCAATTCTAGGGGTTTCTCTTCTTCTTGTCAACATGGTATTAGAGCTCTAAGATTTGTCTCCCGCCACCGCTCTGCCTCGTCTCTCAGCGTCTCTACCACTGCCACTTCACCTCCTCTCTTAGCATCCCCTATCCTCTCCCAATGCAGCTTCCTACCGTGCACACTTGCACATACTTGCCTAGCATGCACCTGCCATCCGGCGCTTGCCCAGTGCCATCTTGCATGCTCACCCAATGTGCCGCTGCGTCTGTGCATTTGACGGCACCATCTCCTGCCGGTCCTCCTGACGCCCCGTGTGTTGCCTCTCAATGCCCAACACGTCGCCTCTCAACGCCCCATGCGTCACCTCCCGGCGCCCTATTTGCTGCCTCTAGCACCCCGCCCAACTCTAGGAACGTCCCCTCCTAGCATCGTCTCATCTCCCACTAATCCTGATCTATGGATCTAGTGGGTAAATCCTTGATGTCCCAGATGCCTCCTCTACTAGTTCTTCAGCTAGTTGTCACTCTTCCTCTGATCTGTGTGATAACTTGTGAAAACTATATGCTAATCTATTATCAAATCAGAGAGAATAATGCATAATTGAGAAATATTTCACAAGTTATCATGTTAATTATTTTATTTGTTATTTTAATGAACCTCTTTAAACCTTAATTTAAATTGATATTTTATGAATAAAAAAAAAGTTGATGCAAATTTATTTCACATCTTGAGGCTTAATTCTCATTTATTTTATTGTGCTATTTTTTTATGATTAATTGAAATATATTTTATGCATTTTTTTTGAAAATTTTAGGCATTAAAATAAATATAATTAGAGGCTATCATTATTATATATGATAACACTCGCATAAATCTACTAAATGTATCTTGTTATTCTTTTCAGATCTAATGGTAGCGCGATAGCAGTGGTCAGATCTGATGGATCGCATGAAGCCATGTCATACGAAAAAATATCTCTAGGATCCAACAACGACTGCTAGTAGATCTAACGATCCAAGAGATGCCATGTCACAACCATTAACGCACGAAAAGTAGCAGCCAATCCAATAGTGGCTATCGTGGCATCCAATGCACATATCCCAATAAAGCATATGCAAAAGGAGCAAGAGGCGATGGAGATCTAATGGCGATTATTAGGCCATGTCACCCCTCTTCAGAGCAAAATGATTGTGTGAGGATCCAAAGGTCTTCATCGAGCCATGTATTAAAGGATATATTTACAAGTATTGATTATCATATGGTAAAATAGACGATATCAATTATTCTCTCGCGTGTGAAAAAGAATATATGTTCAAATATCGATTATCATTTGGTAATGTGAGAAAAGGAGAAAATACTAGAAAATTTAGAGAAATATTGGAAAAATATGACAAAAAAATAGGAAATTAAAACAAAAAATGCGATTTACGGATCTAGGGTACAAAAAGGAGGAAGAGGAGAGAGAAAGGGGACCTTTTTCGTAGTTGTGCTTGGGTTGTTCTAGAGAAAAAATATTGTTCTTCTTTCTTATGCAAAAATAGGAATTTGAAGAGTGCATCATTGATTTTGATTGTTCTCATCTACCCTTTTCACCTCAACTCTATTTCTTTGAACTGGATGCAAGACTAAGATGCACTACCGAGAGGTCGACATCAAGTCATGCATTCTAAGAGTTGTAAGTTTAACTTTTAATAGAGTTTTCATTATTTTCTTGTTTGATCTGCAAAATAATTTTATTTTGTTAAGTTTAATCATTTCTTTACTTATTTCTCTTCTATTTTTATCATTCTAAAGCATATTTAATTGACTAATTTTAATTCATTTAATTTCTATTTGTATTTACATTTATTTGCCATTTTATTTATTTTATTACTTTGAATATCAATTTAAATCTTCTAATCAATTTCATAAGTCTTTAAATTAGAGAATAAAAAGATTTTTAAAAGCCTTCCCTAAGGAGACATCCTAGCTCATGACTATAACGACTTGGAACCACATCAATTCTACAACAATTATTAAAATTATTTTTTTTAGTGAATCTAGTTCTATAAATTATTAAAATTGATTGATGATTCTAATAACGACTTGGAACCACATCAGTTACTCCACAGCACTCCATCACAACAGAACTCACTCGACTAACATATTTTTTTTTATTGTCTTCAATGGACATAATTATGCTTCGTAGGCCTCTAGATTCGAGCACTTCTTGACATTGCACATCCTTCACTACTTTTCGGTTGAGCCGCCTGGCCTCACTGTTTGTCCTTTACTTCGTGGTCTCAATTTAATTCAAATATCCTTACCTGAATGCTCCAGAGCATTGAGTTGAGTATTATCGAGCCTCTCATTTAGATTCGCCCTATGCAACAATTCTAAACGATATTGGAGAACATGTACGCTAACCGAACGAATGTTAGTCACACAGTTGAGATATTCGAGTCGCTTCTTGCTTGCAAGTAGGGTGACTCCTCACTTTTGGCTCATTTTGGTCATCTCAGCTCTGATACAGAAGCTTGTCATCTATCAGCCTTCGACTATTGACCTTTAGACATTCGAGCTCTACCATCAGGAGCTTCTTGCCAAAGTCTATCTAAGTGGATTTCACCCATCAATTACCTCTCAAATTTGTGGGACAATTCTCTTCAGAGTCCAAGTACCTAATATCTCTCACATTTTCTCCATTGCACTTTGTGAGAGTACAACACTCTTGTTATTGCCAATGGCACATCTACTCCTTTAGCAATGGCTATCTCCACTCCTCAAGTGTCACATGACTCTTCTACTTCAAGACCAAACTTTGGTCGTCCATCACAAAGGAAGGGCCTTAATTCTTTTTCTCCATACATCTATTGTAACAAGTAGAACCACTCGCTCAACAAATGTTGAAAATGATTTGGGAAGCTCAGCTTTTCCCAACCAGCTCTCCTACCTCCTTCACCAACTTCTCCGGTGTAGTCCAATGTCCCATCTCTGACTTTTCAAATGACATTGACATCCGCCGAGTATGAAGCACTACGCCACTCTAGGGATACTATGGCTCATTTCTTGACCATTCTGGTCTTGCTTCCACATCCTTTCACGTCAAGTACACACACTCTCCTTGTATCTTCATCTTCACTATGGATTATTTTCTTAGAGGCCTCCACCCATATGACCAACACACCCACCATTTTATCATCATACCAGCTAACCCCTCATCATCCACCAATTACTATTGCCGATGACCAGACTTGTCCAATCAATGGACATGGCAATACCCTTGTTACTCCGAGTATTTCTTCTCACCCAAGTTCTCTATATTCTTAAATTTAATACTAACCTCTTATCTATTAGTGCCATTACTTAAGTCATCCTTTGCTCCGTTATATTTTTTCCTTTTTATTGTACCTTCTAAGATCTGTATACCAAGTGGAGGATTGGTTTGGGGCGTGAGAATGGCTGAGGTGTCTACGAGCTAATTTTCGATGAACTTTATTTTGACCTTTAGGCTCTTTTTATTTCTTCTATAGTCACTTCATCTCTTTTGTGACATCGTCATTTAGAACTTAAAAAAAACCTTGTCTTGACTTTCTCTTAATAAATTTGTGTGTGAGTCGTGTCAATTGGATAAACAACATCGTGGTTCATACTTGAGTCGAGACGAGATTTCATCTACAATACCCTTTGACCTCATTCATTGTGATATTTGGGGGCCACTCTCATACTCCATCTATCTCAGGCCATTACTACTACATTATTTTTGTTGATAATTACACTCGGGTGAGTTAGGTCTATCTTCTCTAAGATCATACCCAAGTTTACACTATAGTTGTTCATTTCATTACCGAGGTCATCACTTAATATTCTCTACGCCTAAGATTCTTCGCACCGACAATACTTTAGAGTTGGTCTAAAATTCACTTTACACATTTTATGTTAATCGTGGTATTTTTTATCAGACCATGTGTCCACATACATCCTAACAAAATAGTGTTGCCCAACAAAAACATCGTCAACTACTTGACATTACTCGCACACTACTCATTGAGATGAATGTTTCTTATTATCTATAGTCTGACGCTCTTTTGACAGTCACATATCTTTAGAATCAACTTTCTTCAGTTCTACTTGGTGGGGTTATTTCACTTCATCGTCTTTCACCTAATTCTTCTTTTTTTTTCTTACCTCCTCGTGTCCTTGAATGCATTACTTTTGTCCAAGATCACTCTCCTTCTCTTTCTAAACTGACCCCTTGTGCTCTCAAAAGAGTCTTTGTTGGTTACTCACAGACACAAAAGGGTTATTGAGTTTATTTTCCTGATACTCGTCACTATGTGATATTAGTTGATGTTACTTTTCATGAGGACTTTTCCTTCTTTTCTCCAACATCGACTCTTCTTCGATCCACTACATCTTCACCACCTGATTTACTTCTTGTGGTGATCATTACAAATCCCTCTCCTACTCTTCCCTACTTGTTTAGTTTCTCAACCTCGTCAACTTCTCCTTTGACACCTTCAGCTTTGTCACCATCCAACTCTTCTACTCTAGGATCAAATTCGTCTTCACTCTCTGCCAACGAGCCTCCTCTGGTTGTCTCTTCTGACACTCAGGTGGATGGCCTTCATCTTCCTATTGCTCTTTGCAAACATACACGTGCATGCACCATATACTCTATTTCCCACTTTGTTTCCTACGACTACCTTTCTCCTTCTTTTCGTACCTTTACTTTTTCTGTGGTCTTCAAGTCGATTCCACAATCATATGTTGAGGCTACACATGTACTTGAATAGAAGGCAGCCATAGACTTAGAGGTGGATGCCTTAGTGTCTCAGAAAACTTAGACACTTGTATCTCATCCACGCGATGACAACATCATCATGTGCAAGTGAGCTTTCACACTCAAGTATAACCTAGATGAATCTATTGCACGTCACAAGGCTTGCTTGATTGCTCATAGATTCATGCAAGCCTATGGCATTAACTACACTGAGATGTTCTCTTCAGTAGTTCGATTCAATTTCATTTGAGTGATACTCTCTCTAGTGATGAATTAGACATAGTCTTTACATTAGTTGGATATTTCTAATGTCTTTTTCTCGGATAATATTGAGAAACATATATTTATGGAGCAACCTCTTAGGTATGTTGTTCAGGCGGAGTCATCGAAAATGTGTCTTTTGCAGCGCGCTATTTACGAACTTAGTTAGAGTCTACATGCTAGATTTGCCAAGTTCAGTGGTCTTCTAGCGTAATTCGGATTCTCACCATGTCTTGCGGATCTCATAGTACTTACAAAGACTATTGAATCTAGTATTGTCATCCTAGTTGTTTATGTAGATGACATTTTTGTGATTGAAAGTGATGAAACACACATTCAAGTTACAAAATCGTACCTACAATAGTACTTCAGTATATGAGATCTGGAGATTTTACAATACTTTCTTGAGATTGAGTTTGCCTATCATGATGGTAAGTTCACTGTCTCTCAACGAAAGTATACTCTTGATATACTTTAAGAGATTGAGTTACTTAGGTGCAAGTCAAAGTTGTCACTTATGAAGATGCATTCACACTTTTAGGATGTCATCTCTGCTCCTAAAGGATGTTAATTGGTACAGATGATTTTTAAGGAAGTTTATCTACTTCACTGTCACTTGTCTTGACATCATGTATATGATTAATGTTCTTAGCTAGTTCATACATGAACTTCAACAAGTTCACTAGGAGGAAGCTTTATCAGTTCTAACATATATTAAAAGAACTCTTGGGAGTAAGCTTATCTATCAAAGACATTGACATCTTCAAATTTAAGCCTACTCAAATGTAAGATATGCTGGTGACAAGGGAGATTGCAAGTCTACTACTAGTTATTATATATATGTGGGTGACAACCTTGTCACGTTGATAAGTCTTCACTATCATGAGTTAATAATTAGTAAATAACATAGTTTTAGCCTTAACTCATGATAAATAGACTTATATTTGTGTTAAAGTGTGAAAAGTGGTTTTCAGTTGATTAATATGAATTTTTGGGTAATTATGTGATTTTACACGAATTTATATGATTTTTATAGTCTTACTTTTGCGATAAATGAAGAAAAAGAAATAAAAAATAAAAATAAGACAAAATGAGGGGGACCCGCCGGCCAGCCGGGCCCACAAGCGGGTCGGAAGCTCAATCGAGGAGTAGCTGCGAGTAGGGACTCGAGCAGGCTTGGACCGATAGGGGCACATGTGTGCCACTCCCCTTCCACGTCACTAGTGGCCAGTTGGCTATAGGGCAAGGAGTGGTCGTACACGTGAGAGAAAGGACTTGCTTAGGAATGAAACATTAGTATATATATTCGCCTGAAAAATTAGTGCACAACCAATGTGGGACTAAACCTGCGTCACCTTCCCTAGGAAGGGCAGGCAACCGGCGCGGGTTCGAATCCTCCTAGAGTCAAAATTCATATATTTTTATCTGATTATCGCGACTTTCCTGCAAATCGCTGGTGAAGGATTAAGCAACGAGAATCGCTGGATCATCGGCAAAAATCTCGTCAACGTGATTTGCGGAGCATTGCTACTAAAATTGTTGAACAATTCGCGATAAAAAGATCATGAATCCATCGAGTAAATCATCTCCAATTGATCGACGAACAAGCCATCGTTAGGAAGAGGATGATCCGTCGGGAGACGAGTCGCCACCTCCTGAGGGCATACCAGATGCGATGAAGAGCCTCCTCTTGCTGCGCGGACTTGAGGATGAAGCTCTTTGACACGCGCCCCACCTCCATCCAGCTCCTCTTCGTCAGGTGAAAGCCGCCGGAGAGCCGCAAAGTCGCCGTTTTTCCGCTCCGCCAGGTGACAGCCGCCGGAGACGACTCGGCGACCCATTTCATTGATCTCTAGACTTCGCAAAGAGATCTAGAGATTGCCCACGTCATCCTTGTCCAAAGAGAGCCTTTGAGGCCATGGACACTATACGACGATCCTCCCGAACGCTCAGGATTCCAGTGCATCGCTGACGTATTGCCGTCGCGACGCTGAAACTCTATTTTCCTACTTTCAACTTACTTTATGCTTCATTTAATGATAATTTGTGTGATTTTAATTTACCAAAATATACTTCACTCAATTACGATTCTTCCGGCTTTTACAGATCTTAATTTGATTAATTAAATCATCTGTAATCGCTTACGTAAGAATTGCCGGGCAGAACTCTATTTTTGCCCAATTTGCGTTTGCTGGGCACTAACGTCATCCTGGTGTCTGCACCCTTATTTCCTTTTTTCGTAAATTTTAAATATACTTCCTTTTCATTTCTTAGTATAAAATTCATAGAAAATAGTATTCTTTAAGGAAAATTTTGAATAATTACCAAATATTATATTACATCCTTGTAATCGACCTGGAAAATTACTGCTATTTTTTAAAATGTTATTGAATTATAATTTATATATTTATTTAGAAATACTTCTAAATATCTAAAAATTCATATTTTCTAGTTTTATAAATTTTATATTTGTGTGATTTAATATAAAACGACTGAGTCACATCACACGTGGTGTTCTAAGAAGTAGAAGATAGTACTTTACTTCAATGCTAAGTTCGAATATCGTGTCATGACTAACATGATGTGAGAGATGATGTGGCTAAGTTCACTCTTAAAAAATCTTGGTATTTCATCTCCTACGTCAATACCTATATACTATGATAATTAAGCCGCCATCTTTATTACTAGAAATCCTACGGTTTATGAGTAGACAAAGCACATCAAGATTGACTACCATTACATTTAGAAATAAAGTAATGTCAGGTGTTATCTCTATTTCACATGTTGTCTCATTTCATTAGCTCGAAAACATCTTCACCAAAAGTTTTGGGGGGATCTCTTATGACACGACATGCACCAAGTTAAGTATATTTGACTTAGATGCTCCAACTTGAGGGAGAATATTAGAATAGGTCCACTAGGCTCACTAGACCCACTAGGCCCACCAGACTCATTTCTCCTCTCTCTCTTTCTTCCCTTCTTATATATAACCTCATGTACTTTTGTTCTTCAAATAGCAATTCTAAGGTTTTCTCTTCTTCGTGTCAACAATGGTCTTCAAATCCTCGTAGATGCCATATATTGGAAGAAGTGTAGAGAGTTGTATTCAGCTTTTGAGAGTGATACAAGAGGGAGATGATAAGTCTTCATTATCATGAGTTAATAATTAGTAAATAATATAGTTTTAGCCTTAACTCGTGATAAATAGACTTATATTTGTGTTAAAGTGTGAAAAGTGGCTTTTAGTTGATTAATGTGATTTTTTGGGTAATTATGTGATTTTATACGAATTTATATGATTTTTACAGTCTTACTTTTGAGATAAATAAAGAAAAAGAAATAAAACTAAAATATTACAAAATGGGGGGGACCCGCCGGCCAGCCAGGCCCGCAAGCGGGTCGGAAGCTCAGTCGGGGAGTAGCCGCGAGCAGGGGCTCGAGCGGCTTGGACTGATAGGGGCACGTGTGCGCCACTCCCCTTCCATGTCATCGGTGGCCAGCCGATTGTGGGGCAAGGAGTGGTCGTACATGCGAGAGAAGGGACTTTGCTAAGAAAGCTAACATTACTATATATTCGCCTGAAAAATCGGCGCACAACCGATGTGGGACTAAACCTGCGTCACACCTTCCTCAGAAGGGGTGGACAACCGGCACGGGTTCGAATCCTCCCAGAGTCAAAATTCATATATTTTTATCTGATTATTGTGACTTTCCTGCATATCATTGGTGAAGGATTAAGCAACCAGAATCACTGGATCATCGGTGAAAATCTCGTCAACGCGATTCGCGGAGCATTGCTACTAAAATTGCTGAACGATTTGCGATAAAAGGATCGCGAATCCATCGAGTAAATCATCTCTGATTGATCGACGAACAAGCCGTCGTCGGGAAGAGGACGATCCGCCAGGAGACGAATCGCCACCTCCTGAGAGCGTACCGGATGCGATGAAGAGCCTCCTCTTGCTGTGCGGACCTGAGGATGAAGCTCCCTGACACGCGCCCCACCTCCATCCAGCTCCTCTCCGTCGGGTGACAGCCACCGGAGAGCCGCAAAGTCGCCGTTTTTCCGCTCTGCCGGGTGACAGCCGCCAGAGACGATTCGACGACCCACTTCATTGATCTCTAGACTTCGCAAGAAGATCTAGAGATTGCCCACGTCGTCTTTGTCCAAGGAGAGCCTTCGAGGCCGTGGACACTGCACAACGATCCTCCCGAACGCTCAGGATTCCGGTGCATCACCGACGCATAGCCGTCGCGACACCGGAACTCTGTTTTCCTACTTTAAACTTACTTTACACTTCATTTAGTGATATTTCTTTGTGATTTTAATTTACCAAAATATACTTTGTTCTATTACGATTCTTCCGGCTTTTACAGATCTTAATTTGATTAATTAAATCGTCTGTAATCGCTTACGTAAGAATCGCCGGGCGGAACTCTGTTTCCGCCCGATTCGCGTTCGCCGGGCGCTGACGTCATCCTGACATCCGCGCCCTTATTTCCCTTTTTTGTGAATTTTAAATATATTTCCTTTTTATTTCCTAGTATAAAATTCATAGAAAATCTTATTCATTGAGAATTTTTTTGAATAATTACCAGATATTATATTACATCCTTGTGATCGACCTGGAAAATTACCGCTATTTTTGAAAGTTTTATTGAATTATAATTGCTATATTTATTTAGAAATACTTCTAAATATCTGAAAATTCGTATTTTCTTGTTTTATAAATTTTATATTTGCGTGATTTAATATACAACGACTGAGTCACGTCAGGAGAGCCTCATGGTGAGGCAGATGATGGTTGCAAAAGGAGTGACTGTGCTAACAATTTTAGTCTCGGTTCTGTTACAGGTCTACGTCTACCGATACGGTCTGGGTTCTAACAAGAATGAAGACAGCTTACCAGGGCTCTGCCTTACCTCAGGCACATTAGTAGTTACGAGGTACGTGGGTGCGTCCTCCGCCTATGTCGCATGAGCCGCCCCACCGATACGAGTTCCGTGCTGCCGCTAGAACGGATATCTTGAATGGACGTTTCCAGCTAGGTTGCTCAGTTCTCTCTCGTTCTCTCTCGTTTTGAGAGTTATTTATCTTCTTTTTCCATTCTCTCTCGTTCTCTGTGTTTCTCCGCCAATCGGTCTGTCATTCGATCTACTATAAGTACTAAAATAAAAGCGAGGATTGCTTCTATATCGTTGAAGAACCCTAACGATATCCTTTGTCAGTGCTTAATAGTTCAAAAAAAAATCGTTTTATGTCCGGGTTTGGGCCTATGACCAATTGTTGGAAACCCGGGAAATGTCTAGGTTCTAAAGTCTATGAGCCTGTTAACGTTCCGACGCGAAGCATTTGGGTTCAGTTGATGGATCAGAGTGGGGATCACGAGATTGGGTTATCCGGAGAGCAGGCAGAAAAGAACCCTAAGCCCATGATCCGTGACGTTTTTAACCTGAATTTGGCGAAGTTAACATGATGGAATTCATGATACAGTTTTTTAACACGTTAATGTTCCCTGCGAGACTCCTTGAAGGTCTACACGAGCATATCGCAAGTTAAAACCTTTACTTCCTTGCAAAAATTTTGTGGCCACAGATCATTGATGAGACAGTTCTCGGGATTATTGACAAATATGCGCATTAATGGAGATCCAAAAGTAGAAGAAATCTAAGGAAAACTTATTTCCGGCCCTTCTGACTGTCCTCGAATTTTTATTTTTAATGAAAAAAGATCAAGGACACTGTTCCCCAGAATTGCTTTCCGGTTGTTTATCGCAAAGAGTGCGTTAGCTGAACGGTTAAAGCTTTTTTTTTCAGGAGGAAATGGTTAAGGCACATTTTGTCGAGTTTCAATATTTACTGTTCAAATTTAGTGTCTAGAGAAGATCCGTTCGGCTCCTCTATTTCAAGGGTCAACCTTACCCCTGTCAAAGACTATTGGACTCTGCAGTTCCTGCCTTGAATTTCATGACCCCGATAATTGAGTCATCGTTGACATCTGAACCTCGCTACGAGTCAAACTCATAGTCGTCAAAAGTCAAGAAACATGGCTGTGGTGCCGGTCTTACCCCCGTTGCTATGTGCGAAAGAGACACGGTACCATCCTAAGACCATTGCCGCAAGTGGACGAGAGATAAACAGCACGTGGTGGTGCAAACAGATGCCTTTGTGGGGTCACACTTGCCTTAGTAGTGTCACAGCTACGAATAGGCCGGACCCTTCAATTATTGAAGCCAGCACTGACTGTTAAGGAAATTCATGAAAGATTAGGACAGAGCGATTCGAAAAAAATTTCATCAAGAGGCAATGAATCAATAGTGAATAATATTTACTTATGCTTCAGCTGTCTGCATAGGTTTTTAGTTCGTTGATTTCTACAGTATAGTATTTTAACAATTAAAAGAAAATAATCCTTACATTATCACCTGAATGAGCAAGATTCACTATTTGCATATTCAGGACTCATTTATAAATCAGCGTACAAGCTGGTTAAAAGTTCACGATATAATATTTATTTTCATATTTTAAATAAACTTTTAAACGTACGTAAACTGATCCACCAGACTTTTTAGACAAAATGTTCAAAACATTTTCGGAGCCTTAATGTTACAAAAGCTTAGAACTCAGAGACATAATGGTGCGAAACTATCTTGTTGAATTTAGGAAATCTTTTGTGCATATTTTCCAGTTATCTGCTTAGGGTTTCTTGAATCATCTAGCTGAAATATATCACATTTGTTTGCGTGATGTAGTTGCTTTATGTAGCCAATGAGCTTAGGTCTAATAAGGCAATTAACATAAAAAATGATGGTCACATGCCGATTGTCAGGCACAAATGGTACCCTGGAAACATAGATGTAACATAAGGGTTCAAAAGGTTTATCTACCTCAGTAATTTTGGAAACCATTTTGGATTATGCAAACACTGAAAAATTAGAATGTATGTGAATACAAACTGAAACTGCAATGAGAATCTTGAGGTTAGAATTTCCATGGAGCACACTTTTTTTACCTTTCTTACTTCATTCCTTTTTTGTAAACATATCCATTTCGTGTTTTAAATAGTGGTAATGACCTCAAAGTAATTATAGTGTCACGTTACTTAGCTAAGTAGAATTTTTCTGGCTTTTCCTAAGTTCAATGATCTTAATGTCCAGAAAAAAGTCTTGGAACAGAGAAGCACGCAGTCAATGTAACTAAAAGTTAACTGGTATTCAAGTGAACATATGCAACCGGATAACCTTGTCCATGGACGTTATAATCACATTCGACATTGCAGTTTTACCAACTGGTTTGCACAAGTAACGATACGTGCTGTTTTATTGTCTAAGACGCATCTCATTCTTGCTTACGCTGTACTGCTCTTTGTCTGATTTGGACTCATTAAATGCAAAGTAGCATGAAAACACGCAGGGTATAACTTGCTCTTTGGTTTTATCTTCTATCTGTAATAGGTGCCATAAAATGTTGAGGATCAATACTAACCTTCTTGATCGCCAATAAAAGAACGAACTACATTTACTGTATTATTGATACGACCTTCCTCGATATAGTTTCAAGACAAAACTACAATCGAGGGACTATGATCGAAAGAAAGTACAAATAATTTCATTAACTTTCTCGTGAAATTCCTTAATCCACCACACATTTCTTCGGCGTTTCCATCAAAGAAATTAGTAGCGGTTAGGGACGGCCAGAAAGCTTACACGATAATGTTGTCGTCGTCATTGAGTCTAAACTGCAGGGATCTGATAATGGAAGATAAACAGAGATTGTTGCATATTGACAACACACTAAATACAGCGTGAGGAAGAGAAAACAAGATGATAGATTTATGATTTACAAAACCACAGACAAGTTAGACGCTGAAGTCAACACGGAGGCCAATCACAGGGAATGTTGATATGACAAGTAGCTCAATTGCAGCCAGAATAAAGAGCAAATGCCGATATTATACTTATTTTCTAAAGCCATGACATGTCGTAACTATTTCTTATTGATGAAAAAGCAGCGAAAGATGTCTTTCGTACAAACTAGTCTCTTAGCTCTCATGTCAACGTTCTTCCACGTTGTGGTGTCTAAGCAATAGTTATTGTGACAGATTTGGCCATGGTGATGGAGTATCCTCACCAACGTCGGCTGAGCGGTAAACTGAAAAATCGACGGTCTTGTTCTGGTGGACGGTCTTCTTTTGGTGGCACATGTTGTGTATACGTGTGACTGAATGGACCCGTCCTGCAGAAAAAATGCTAGCGAGTCATGGAGAAGTTATTCTGCTCACTTCCGTTTTCGAATAAAAAAGGGGTGAAAACCTCAGAGAGACTATTGCTAATCTTAGAGACGTTTCTTTTGCGATGACTGTGCCTACAATTTTCTTGCTAGTCTCTAGAAGCTCTATGATTGACATCTAGAAACCATGGTCAATGCGTCTAATTGGCCCTTTTGTATTGACATAGGTAAGAGGCATTCTCCATCCCCCCCACGGGTTACACCCTTAAGAGAGGTGCACATTATCACTCATGATTTTAAAGAGCCGCATTTAAATCATCTACTGACATGACTTAGTCGTTGTATATTAAATCACACAAATCTAAAATTTATAAAACTAGAAAATATGAATTTTCAGATATTTAGAAGTATTTCTAAATAAATATATCAATTATAATTCAATAAAACTTCTAAAAATAGTGATAATTTCCCAAGTCGATCACAGGGATGTAATATAATATCTGGTAATTATTTAAAAAAATTCTTAATGAATACAATTTTCTATGAATTGTATACTAGGAAATGAAAAGGAAATATATTTAAAATTCACGAAAAAGGGAAATAAGGGTGCGGACATCAGGATGACGTCAGCGTCCGGCGAACACAAATCGGGCGAAAATAGAGTTCCGCCCGACAACTCTTACGTAAGTGATTACAGATGATTTAATTAATCAAATTAAGATCTATAAAAGCTAGAAGAATCGTAATAGAACAAAGTATATTTTGGTAAATTAAAATCACAAAAACTATCACTAAATGAAGCGTAAAATAAGTTGAAAGCAGAAAAACAGAGTTCTGGCATCGCGACGGCGATGCGTCAACGATGCACCAGAATCCTAAGCGTTCGAGAGGATCGTCGTGCAGTGTCCACGACCTCGAAGGCTCTCCTTGGACAAAGACGACGTGGGCAATCTCTAGATCTTCTCGCGAAGTCTAGAGATTAATGAAATGGGTCGTGAGTCGTCTCCGGCGGCTGTCACCCAACGGAGCAGAAAAACGGCGACTTTGTGGCTCTTCGGCGGCTGTCACCCGACGAAGAGGAGCTGGATGGAGGTGGGGTGCGTGTCAAGGAGCTTCATCCTCAGGTCCGCGCAGCAAGAGGAGGCTCTTCATCGCATCTGGTACGCTCTCAGGAGGTGACGACTCGTCTCCCGGCAGATCGTCCTCTTCCCGACGACAACTTGTTCGTCAATCAATCGGAGATGATTTACTCGATGGATTCGCGATCTTTTTATCGCGAATTGTTCAGCAATTTTAGTAGCAATGCTCTGCGAATCGCGTTGACGAGATTTTCGCCGATGATCCAACAATTCTCGTTGCTTAATCCTTCACCGGTGATCTACAAGAAAGTCACGATAATTAGATAAAAATATATGAATTTTGACTCTAGGAGGATTCAAACCCACGCCAGTTGTCCGCCCCTTTTGAGGAAGGTGTGATGCGGGTTTAGTCCCACATCGGTTGTGCGCCGATTTTTCAGGTGAATATATAGTAATGTTAGCTTTCTAAGCAAAGTTCCTTCTCTCGCGTGTACGACCACTCCTTGTCCCACAACCGGCTGGCCACCGGTGACATGGAAGGGGAGTGGTGCACACGTGCCCCTATCGGTTCAAGCCGCTCGAGCCCTTGCTCGTGGCTACTCCCCAACTTAGCTTCCAACCCACTTGCGGGCCTAGCTGGCCGGTGGGTCCCCCCCTCATTTTGTCTTATTTTTATTTTTTTTCTTCATTTATCTCAAAAGCAAGACTGTAAAAATCATATAAATTCATGTAAAATCACATAATTACCTAAAAATTCACATTAATCAACTGAAAACCACTTTTCACACTTTAACACAAATATAAGTCTATTTATCATGAGTTAAGGCTAAAACTATATTATTTCCTAATTATTAACTCATGATAATGAAGACTTATCATCTACCAAGCAACATTTGCATTAGATTGCTAATGTGACATATTATTTCTTCCCTCCTTGTGCCCCTAACATGACTTAGTCATCATATAATAAATCACACAAATTTAAAATTTATAAAACTAGAAAATACTAAAAAAAATAGTGAAGAATTTTCAAGTCGATCATAGGGATGTAAGATAATATTAGGTAATATTTATTTTTTAAAAGAACACGATGTTTTATAATTTTTAAATTAAATGATGAATATAAAATATTTAAAAAAAATCATGAAAAAGATAAATAAAGAGGAGGACGTCAGAATGATGGCAGCTCCCTACGAATGTGAATCAAGTAGAAATAGAGTTCCGTTCGATGATTCTTACATAAGTAATTATAGACAATTTAATAGGTCAAATTAAGTTCTGTAAAAACTAGAAAAAATGTAATTAAATGAAGAAAAGTTTTGAAACTTTAAATCACACAAAGTATCATTAAGTTAAGTGAAAATTAAGTGTAAAGTAGGAAAGATAGAGTTATGACTTTGCGACAATGATCGTCGAAATTATGTATGTTCGAGAAGATTATCATGCAATGTCTACAGCCTCAAAGGCTCTTTATGGACACAGATGACGTGGGTAATCTCTAGATCTTCTTGCAAAATTTAAAAATCAATGAAGTAGGTCAATGAATCACCTCCGGCATTGTCACCTGACAGAGTAAAAAAATAACAACTTTCGAATCTTCGGCGGCTGTCACCTAATAGATATAAGTTCAATAGAGGTGGGACACATATTAAGAAGCTTCATTCTCAGGTCTGTGTAGCAAGAGGAGGCTTTTCATTGCATCTGGTATGCTCTCAGGAGGTGGTGACTCGTCTCCTAGTAGATTGTCCTCTTCCCGACAATGGTTTATTCATCGATCAATTAGAGATGATTTACTCGATGGATTTGTAATTTATTTATCTAGAATTGTTCGATAATTTTTGTAACGATGCTCCACAAATCATGTTGATGAGATTTTCATTAATGATTGACCGATTTAGGCAACTTAATCCTTCATCGACAATCTACAGGAAAATCGTGATTTAATCAGATAAAAATATGAGTTTTGGCTATAGTAGGATTCGAACCTTTATCGATTACCTACTTGCATGAAAGAGAGTAAAATAAGTACTTGAATACCCTTATATAGTGACATCATCAGGGTATCTCATTGTTATAAATAAGGGATATTTTAGATATTAAAATCATCGAAAACCTTTGGGAAGTCAGTTTAGTCTCACATCAATTATTTTATGAGTTTTGAGGTATATATAAGAAGATTTAACAATCAATAAGCCTCTCTTACATGTGTATGACCGCTCCTTGCCCCCACCCAATTGGCCACCAATGACGTGGAAGGGGTGTAACACATATGTGTCCTCTATCAGTTCGTCCTTAGCCACTCAAACCCACTATTCATGGCTCTACTTGATTGTGCTTTCAACCTACTTGCAAGCCTAGTTGGCCAGTTGGTTCCCTCTTTTTTATATTTTTATATTTTATCTTATTTTCTTTTATTTATCTCAAAATAGGATTATAAAAATTATATAAATTCACATAAAAGCACATAATTAACCAAAAGTTTATGTTAACCAATTAAAAACCACTTTTCATAATTAATACAAATATAAATCTATTTATCATGAGTTAAAGCTAAAAATATATTATTAATTAATTATTAACTCATGATAATGAAGACTTATCAACTCCCACGTCTTATCTATCCTTCTCTCCCTCCCTCCTCCCTCTCTCTCTCTCTCTATCTATCTATTATAATTTTTAGCTGGTGAATAATTCATAGGTCTTAGTTTTTACCGCCCTAAAAGTTACTTTTACTCGTACAATGATTTGCACATCTCTCGTCAAGCTACTATTCCCAAAAGAAAGGAAGCCTCTAGCTAATGCTCTCTTCCTTTGTTGTATCTGATTTGATTATCATACAATGGGCGACGGTAATGTGTCTGAACTTTGATCATCTAGAAAACCTGGTTAAACCAATATTTAATGGCAAGAATGAGACCACATCCAACTAGTGGCATTTTCATAGGGAGGAGGCATTTTAAAACTTTTAGAGGCCACACTCTGAAATCATGAAGATATCTCCTTGGTTCAATTTAGATATGATCTCCTACAAAATTTGTCTTTCCAATTAGTGGAATATTAGTACTGTCCCTTGCAAAATTTAGGAATTTATCCCTCTGGTGAAGTCCATTGGAGGTCTATCTTGGTTTTTGAATGGACTAGAGTACCTCCCGTCCATAGTATGAAGCGTATTCTTTTTATTCATCGTAGTAAATTAATAAATATATTACTAAAATATTAATGGTCTAGTAAAGATAACAATAAATAATCAATAAAAAATATTTAGAAATAGATTAAAGGCATTGTCAAAATTAAAATAGGTAAACTAGAGAAATAATGCAAACATACAAATACAACTAGTACGGTTTTTAATATGAAAGTCTTCTTTCATTGTAGGTTCAACAAATTTGTATTTTATGTCCTATATATATCTCTTTATGTGATGAATATGTGATGTATTTGTGTATCATAAAATTTAATATTTTATCATAAGATGAAAATCGTGAATGATAACATATTTTTTGGATTTGAAGCCACAATTGATGAAGAGGAGGAATTGAATTGATTGAGTCTTAGATTTGATTTTTCTCAACTTTGTTGGAGTATTATATGCATAATGTTTTAATGATGAAAAATAAGTTTCAAAAAATTAAATTATGTGTAGTTCACAATTCTCATGATGTATGGATGCTTAATCATAATCAGATATATTAATGATCATAGCTTATTTGAGAGACCATTAAACATGCATCTACCTAGTATTGTCAAATGTATAAATCAGATAGATATATGTGTATAAAATCATCACATTACATATTGCTGTGGAAGATGTTTATATTTATAAACTATGTCATAGTATGGAAGTAATGATAAATACATCAAAATGAATAAGACAACAATATGCAAAACATAGGTATGGAAGCTTACTCAATCTATTATGTTCTCATGATATCAGATCATTACATTTGTGTGTTTTTTTATATCTTTTTAATTGATTGAATGCAGATCATTCACTCAGACAAATATGATTGTTTAAATATTTGTAAATACTTATCAAAAATTATTTTAGATATCTTAAATCACCAAACTCATAATTGTAGATGCCAAGATCGTTATTTAAGATTCCAACTTAGTCATTATATCTTATTCAAGGTGATTTGAATATGATTTGAATGCAAATTATCATCTAATCTGAATATCTATCATTAGTCATGTTTGAACAGATTATTGTTGATTCTACTCTCATGAAACAAGATCTGAAATAGATCAACATGAACCAGTGTGATTAAGATACAGATGTTAAGTAATCAAGGAATGACATACTAGTTATTTCTAAAGATATCTGAATCATATTTAAGGACATGTCATGTTGGTTTCTTGATGCTTTGAATTTCTCTTATTTGAAGAGAATTAGTCATTGGAAAATTACAAAGATCCAAGAAGAGTTCTGACAAGATTTATATATTAAATAATATTATCTTTTAATGGGAATATGAGAGACAACGCTTACCTTTCTCATCTCATCGACCTCTAGCTCGTGCTTAAGCTTCTCTTGCAAGCATTCTAAGTAAGATACAATGAAGTCTGTGCTGGTATTTAAAACAATGTCAAGCCATTTATGCAAGGTGAACTATAATACCATTGAATGATCCTCCTCAACTCAATTAAAACTTAAAGATCCTTCAATACTCCCAACACTCCAACAAGAAGATGACAACAGCTACTCAACAATACACGACATCCTCTTCATCAAAGATCTGAAAATATTAAAATCTACAACATATTCGGAAGACAACTCACAATGAAATCTTTTCATATTTATTGTGAGAAACATACTTGTGATCTTATTATTCGAGGGAGCTATCCCATTAAACAACTATGAACTACCTAAAATTATGAATCTAACAGCAAATTTTTGGTGAAATTAGGTGAGAGTTGAACCAATTAATCAGTAGTTTGTGATCAAATGATCAGTTTTAATGGAACCCAAGAACATAATTGTTCTTGAAGAGTGGACTAGGTAATGCATCAAACCACTATAGAAAATAGTGAGTTTTAGAGTTATCCAGCTACTACAAGCAACAAAAGGAAGAATAATTTATATGCATCCAAAGTGAGTCTATTAGAAAGAAAGTCTAGGAACAACTCAGTTCAACCTCCCCTCCCCCTCTTGATCTTAGTGTAGGCCAAACCCAACAAATTACTGTCTTTATATTTTTTAATATTCTTTCTCCAATATTAATCTTAAAACCTTTTAGGTTCTAAATCAAAAGCATTCTACGATTTTTGAATTGGTTTGGTCTCTTTGTGCTACTCTCTATGAACACCCTCATTCTTGGGTTCTACTAGATCAATCATTCAACACTTGCAATCACTAATTACCTAGTTCAACTCTCATATAATTTTAAGCAAATCTCTTTTAATTTCATAGCTTTATGGAGCCAACTAATTAGAAATAACAACTCCCCATAGTGAATAAATAAGAATTTATTCATATGTTTTTCTGAGAAAGATTAGGAAAATTTTATTTTGAGTATTCTATATGATAATAATGAATGTGCGTGCATATCAAATTTGAAGAAGAGAAAGTTGATCAGAACTTAGTTTCATTGTCCTCTTCATGTTGGAAAGTT